TCCTGAGGATGCACGCTGTCAATGAGAGTCAGAGCTGCCAACAACAGCTCTGAGCTACCGCAAGCATCAGTATCCTGTTCTGTCATAATGTCAGCTTCGATATGTTCTTGACTCTCAGGATAACCAGTTATAAGTATCTCATGCATCCTCATGAGGGTCTGCAAAAGGGTGCGTGGTCCATATTCGCCTGGAGCAAGCGAACCAGGAGGTATGAACGGAGTATCTGGTTCGCCTGCAATGAAGGCCTGAACAAATGCCTGAGACTCCATTTCAATTAAGTCTTCAGTGGTCTGGGGATATTCTCCCATCAGAGACGGCCTGTTTCCAGGCGGGATTTCGGGCGGAGGTTCGAGGTTCCGTTGAACCTCGGAAGGCGAAGCCTCTATAGTGGTGTCCTCGTCGTCGCTCTCGTAGGCCATGATGTTGCCTGGGTTCCCGAACATCCAGTCGTAGAAAGAAAGAGGCTGGTTTCCCAGCGTACCGTGTTCCACGGGAGTAAGCTCGTTACTGCCCATAACGAACCGGCGGACGTACTCGAGGTAGTACGCGTACAATCCATGACCATACGCTTCGAGCTCGTCGACGTTGTCCATGCCAACAACCCAAATGGAAAATATTTGCTCCATAGCCTGAAAGTCCTGGAGGCTCAGATATTCAATGGGTGGTTCACTTGAGCCAAAATTGACTTCGGTCGACCTGCCCTTTCCATTTCCCTTCACTGGACAATCTCGCACAAGATGATCGGAACTACCACATTCATGGCATTTGAGAACCCGGCCGTCTCTACCTCGCGGGTTTCCCCGCCTACCTTTGCCTTTTCCTGAGGTCTATCTACGGCCTTTACCACGGCCTTGTCCCCCAAAGAATATCTCATCATGTTGTTCATCTGAGAGCCTCTGGAGAAATGCCGCGATACCTCGTCCGTTCAACCTCCGACGACCTCGCTTGCCTTTACCCTTTCCTTTAAAACTTCTACGTGTCCTCCTTCTAACACGACGCACTGGTTTTCGTGTGAACCTCCTCCACCTTCGTTTAGCCTGTTGTAATAACCAGAACACATGCTCAGCACGCTGATTGTCGTTATCCATATTCATGATATCTGACCAATCTAAAGCTTCAACACCATCTGATGATATAGTGTCTGTATCGGTGCCGGAGTCGAAATCCTCGTCTCCCAAGTAGGTGGATACACCGTCGGTTAGGGGGTTTGATTCCCCCCATAAAGAACGGTGTGGTTGTGGTTCTCTAGAAGGAGGGCTGGTTGCCCAGCTTGGTTGTGATCGATCCCCTGCTAATAAAGCAGTGGATTCTCCTGGGTCATCGGCCCATATGCTTGAGGGCCCGTTTCCAGGCTGGGCTTCAGTGGTCAAGGTAGTGTAGAAATTTCCACTACCAGATCCCCTTCCTCTTCCAAACACAGATCCTATGTTACCAGGAGACCGTTCGGATAGGTGGCCTATCGAACGCATCCTCTCCAGCAACTCATCATACTGTTGTTGTGTTCGGGGCATTTGGTGATTGAGTGGCTGTAAGAGTTGCATGGCTCGCTGGTTGCCGACGCCTAAGGCGCGGAATAGGATAGTGGTTAGCAGTTGGAAGTTGGGAAGGTCGAGTCCCACCGATTGTGCCTCAAGTCGGGCCATTTCGAATCGGGTAAGGGTGACATCGATTCGTTCCCCGTGAGGCACGTGGAAGTCGATGAGTTGTGTGCCGGAAGTGAGCTGTCGCTCATCTTCCAGGCGTTCGAACTTCATGCTTAGGAGGAACATGATGTAGGTCACTGGGTCTGTGTGGACCCCATCGATGTCAGCACCATAGTTGATAATGTCAGGCGGTACCCTCATGGCGAGTGTCCTCGCTAGGCCACCTAGGCCGCGTTGTATTGCGGCCGCTTGGGCCTGTGGCGTCATACGCCCGCTTGTAACGTTGAGGGTCCCAATATGGGCCATGTGTTTGCCCATCGGTGCTGTTTTCTCCACGACGCATGTGTCCGATTGCTGCCCCCAGCGCGAACCATATAATAGCGAAAACGACTAGCCCGAGAATGTGTAACGAAGGACGGTTATGATGCGCGTTGTCGCGCTGGGGTAGCGCCTTGTCGAGTCTTCGAGGCGCTCTGTCTGGCGGGTCTCCCCGCCCCTGCTTCAAGTATTGCGCTGTTGGCTCGTTGCCGAGCGGTTGGTGGTAACGCACTGATGAAGCGTATACGGTACCAGTCTGGTCGTCTAGACGTCGTACCTCTCGTGTTGCTTCTTGCTCTTGAATAGATCCTCGTAAACGTACTGGGAGTGGTGGCGCAGGATGGTAGGTAGTCACGAGGATCGTGCCGAAGAATATGAGGCTAAGAAGAGCAAGAGCTGACCACACGAGAGTGCGGCCAGCTCCGCTACCAAGTCGAAAGTGAGCCTGGTAGCCCAAATATGGCATATAGCCTGGCAAATTGCATCCATCGCTCTGCTGTGAAGGTACAGTATGAGGGGTGGATGAATAAGATTGGATAAGATCGATGTAATGATCTTTCCAGCACATAGCGAACACTCGCGGCGTCCGGGCAAATAGGGCGCGCGTGCCTTGGGCCAAAGGCAACGGCGCGCGAGCTATGCTCCCGATGCTGTAACATATCCCAAAGAACTACCCTTAAAATTACCCGCCACCGTGCCGCTGGGGACGGAGGGGGCGTGTCCGCAGGTCCTTTGCCCAATCCCCTGAGCCTCCAGTCCTCAATCCTGAAGAGTCTTTAAAACAGCCCTGGAACCCAAATTCTCACATCTTCCGGGGCTTGGCACATGTCCCCTAGGAATCGAAACGGCCTGTCGCGTGACTTTGTCGAGCCCAAGAGGGCACCAAGACGGGCCAACAGCCCCAAGAGGCCCCCAAGACGGTCCAAGAGGGCCCCGAGACGCCCAACGATCGCACGAAGACGCCCAAAATGGCCCCAGGACGGCCGAAGAGGTCTCCGAGAGGCCCCACGGGAGCCCCCAGAGCATTCCCAAGGAGCCCCGAGAGGCCAAAATCATTCATGTCCCAAAGGTTTCAGCCAAAGGTTTCATTATTTATTTATTTAAAAAATCTCCATCGCGCTCCATCCCACTCTTCCAACGAACAACGAATAATATGAAACGGCTCATCGGACACGTGACTCCTCAAGCGCGGCAACATATTGCAAACATCCAGCCTGCGATTGCCAACAAAAAACGTCACCGAGAAAGAATAATCGCTCCAGACGGTGCGTGCCTACGCATTGGATGCCTCCCCCTTCCCATTGTCTTCATCATCCTCATCCGTATCCTCCACATCGTCCTCGCCATCTTCATCGTATGCCTCATCATACCTGGGTGGGTCGGTAGCCGGGAAGCGGCCCACACAGGCACAAGTGTGGCTGCTGGGTCAGGCATGCAAGGCAAGGGTCGTGACAGTAGGCCTGTGGGAGACCCCTCACCGTCGGCTCAGGGCCGACTGAGAATCTGTAAACTTCTGGGTGGTGGGGAGGGTTTTGACACGGTAGCCCATCCTCTCGGCCGAAACTCGCGCATATGCAGTGTGTGTGTGTGTGTGTGGCGCCCGCTGTACATATTTCACTCTTCGCAATTCCTCATCGTCTCGTTTACGACCGCGGCCTCTGGTAAGCGTTTGGGGCGCCGTCGATCACACGCACACGCAGACGCACACGCACACGCACACGCACACACACAAACACACACACACACATTTGCGGCACCGAAGAAGCAAGTTTGCAGCGTGTGACAGGGCCAACCGGATTGCCGACGCAATGGAACAGACATGCCACAATTGCCCTGAGCGGCAACAAAAGGGCACGTGGCGTCGAAATGCACCCCCTGGGTGCACTTCTGGAAGCTCTGCAAATCCGAATGACCAGAGCAAAAAGATGAGGTGATGCAATCAGCGGGAAAACGGGGATACTCGGAGGGGGAAAAAGGACAGGAACAGGCTGGCAGGACCGACGGAACGCCACGTCCACAGGCGCCGCACAGACGCACCTGTCCTATCGCACCCCAGGACTGCAATTATACCTTGACACCAAATGCTGCGGTCGCCAAACCGTCGACCTCCTCTTCCTCAACCTCCCCCTCGCCCTCCTCCCCCCACCTCGGGTCAGACATCCACGGTGCGCCACGCGGCTCGAAGCGCGCTGGGCAGCAAGACGGCCGTTGAAACGGCTCCGCGGCACTACGCCGCACAAGCCACGACCGATGCCTCGCAAGAAACGGTCCATGCGACGAACGAGGCAAAGACCGATGCCAATGTAGACTCGCCAGCAACTTCCTATCACCACCAATCCTGCATTATATTGATTTCCCCACTCCCTTGTCCCGCCCTAGGAGAGAGGGAAGAAAAACGAGGATGAGGCAGAAACGGGAGTGGGGGAGAAAAGATAGGAGCAGGGATTAGCAAGAACATGGTGATGGCAGAAATGACGCCTCTCCTTTTCCGTGGGGGTCGGCAAACCGTGCCGCAAAGGGGGCGCCAGGGGAATTGCTGGCAGGGTGCTGTTTGCAGCCCCGCCTACCCCAAATGAGGCAAGTTGCGCTCACAATGAGTGAGCGAAACGTCTCCATTGAGGCATGGGCCCGGGTGCGGACTGGCCCTGCTCGGATGACAGGGCCGGCGCGCGGCCGGGAGGCTTGAAGGCTTGGGTGGTGTCCGCGTTGAAGGACGCAGCTGCCTGTGCAAACATGCGGAGGCGTTCCTGCTCATTGAAACGGGTGTAGACAGAACGCGTGGTCTCGGGGCTCGACCACCCGCCTTGAGCTTGAATGGGGACCATGACGCCCGCCATGCCCCAAGCAATACAGAAACGGGTTCCTGCATGTCTGTCATTCCCATGATACTCTTAGCATATGCTTGAATATTCCTCCTGTGGACGCGCCCTGCTTGAAACGAGCCGTATCCTGGGGAGGCAAAAAGAACGCTCACAAGGTGTCGCATGCCCCAGCGTAGACCGGACCAGCGGGGGCAGAGTTCGCAGGTGGCTGCAAGGCCGGGGGGAACGCCAGCGCCGACAGCCTGCGGCGGCCGGCCTCGCGCCCCCGCGCCTGCGCGGCGCCCGAGGATGCGCAGGCGCCGTAGCCTGTCGCCGGCGGCTGCGCCATCGGCAGGTGGGGCGCCGGCTCTCCGGTCCCGCCCTCCTGCCTACGACGGCGCCGCTCCCTGCGGGGATCCACGCACGCGCGCTGCGGTGGCGGCCACTGTGCCAGCCGATGGCCCCAGCTGTCCGTCTCCTGGGCATCCGCGGCCGGCTGCCCCGCGGCTTCCGTAGCAGCCGCGGCAGCCCAACCGCTCACGAGCAGCAGGAACAACAGCACGAACAGCACGCACGAATATCCTAGAAACGGTAAACGACAATTGAAACCCAACGAGGCGGCAACGCAAAAAAACCCGCCCAGGACTCAGAAGTCAACGCGGGAGGCACGTAAACTAATACCAAGAGACCAACCTTACCAATCACCACCAGCATGGATTTTGCGAACGTGCGGCCGCGTTTCCCAAAGTTTGCTAGTGGGCTGGTGACAATCGCGTGGAGGTCGTAGACCGCGGTGCCAAGGATTAACACTGAGAGTCCATGCGTGATGGCCCAACAAATAAAAAAACACAGCGAGGCGAGACGCTTCCAAATCAGCAGATGGCGATTGCAAATATTTCAAGAGCGGCTTTAACGCAGGAGAGGCTCTATTTAACGTTGGCATGGCAATTTGTTCGTAGAGAGTCAACTTATCCCAATACATGGCGGCCGCAATATTTTGAGATGCCACGGTCTCCCGTAGACTATGTTCACACATGTTCACGAAACTATCCCAGAAAGACATGCCTGAAATGACAACGAATGACACCAACAGCGCGCTGATTACCAACACACCATCCAAAACAACGCGCAAATGAAACACTCTGTTCCGCACAAGCCCGAGAGAACGAACATGAGGCGCTTGCTCAGAAATCGCTTTGGCCGCTGTTAGGAACTGGAAAAGGGCGCGCAGAAGATCCCGTCGGAGGGACCCCGTGTCGAATCTGAGCATGAACCTACTATCTGCTCGACCTGAGTCTCCTGAGAACCCCCTTCGACCATCGCCAACTTTGAACTCTGCGAGTAGGCTATTGCGAAATATCTTCGTGGCGGCCTGATCTAGAGACGCGGGGGTCGATATCCCCTTCCACTTCATAGCTGCATGTATCGCTGGGTTGCTGCTTAATAGCTTCCAACAGCTGGTCAAAATGCTGGCCCTTGCTTCTACCAGAAAGGCAGCGTAGCCATCAACAGAAAGATGCCAATCACTGTCAGAAGCTCCCCATCCTAAGCTGCGGTCCAGATACTCCGACACGCTGCGCACTTCGGCGACAACTCGCGTTCACGGTTTCTGTGCATGCCCGACGTCGCTGAAGAAAGGAACCACCACGTTTCGTAGAGCGTTGTGTTCACTGATTGCAAACGGTGGCATCAACACACGTTGAAATTCTGATTCTGCCCTGGCACCGTAACCTTTATCAAAGTGCATTACCATGATGAGGCTCATCTGGTCAACTTTGTATGCAATGACGCAACGGAAAACAATCACAACCCCCACCATGGCGGTCGTGATGAGATAGTATGCCGATGGACAACAATATCTCTTTTCATCTTGAGCCAAAATGGGCGCACGGAGGAGGGTGTCAGAATCACTCCTCCTCGGGCCTGGCCGCAAACCGGCCAGGCACGACCTAAGTCGTACGCGGGCGCGCCCGAGCCGACGCGCCCAGCTCATCAGCTAGGCTGCGGCCATGCCGCGAGCCCCTCACTCCGCCCGGCGCGATCATACCGCCGCCGGCGGAACCTCATCCAGCCCCACAGGTAGCGGAGCATGGATTCGATCCACTCCATCACTTGAAGTCCTTCTGAGTCGAACTCGGTGCCCGATCCCAGATGTTCAGCGTCGCCATGTGTCTCCTCAAAAGGGATCCACCCACGCTCTTGGTCAGCACGTCCGCGACATTGTTCTTGCCAGGAACCGCAGCGATCGAGATGTCGCCCTTGCCAACACGCTCCTGGATCCACAAGTACCGTGATTGAACATGTCGCATCTTCCCGAGACCTCGCCGTTGGACGTGGCCCCGGGCCGCCGATGAATCCGAGGCAAGCTCCACCTTCAGGTCCAGCCCCCAATCCGCGAAGAGGCTGTGAAGGCCTAGGCCCACGCTCCCGCCCTTCACCAGGGCGTAGTACTCGCTCTCCCCGCTGCTCAATGAAACCGTCGACTGCAGGTTGCTGCCGTGCTTGACTACATGATGCCCTAGCATCGCCACGAAGCCTCCTGTGCTCTTCCGCGTGACTGCACAGCCTGCATGATCAGAGTCCACGTACACCCGGATCTTGTCGAACATCTTCTGCTCCGTGAAAACCGTCACCGTGCTAGGATGCCGCTTAAGGTAGCGGCCAACCCTCTTGAGCATGAGCCAGCTCGCCTCCGTTGGCGTCTGCATGGACCTAGCGAGCGTCTTCGATGCCTCTGCCAAGTCCAGCCTGTCCTGAGACAGGTAGGCCACCCTCATGGTGAGGGATCGGAAGCGCGAAGCTTCCGCTGCTCCCAACGCCGCCGACTTCGCATCCATCATCTGCTTGTCGGCGCTGCGCTTCTCCATCGGCGTGTCCACGCCGTTGGCCTTGCTGAGACCCAACTCGTCGATCACGATCTCCGCGCGCCGCTTGTCCGGCTCGATCATCGCATGCCGGCAGGGCCGGCCACCGCCAGGCGGAACTCCCGCACTGACCTCGATGACCCGATTCAGGAAGACCGCCTGCTTGTCATCGCCCTCGTCGAAGCCTAGGTTCGCAGTCTTCTTGAACTCGTACTTCTTGCCCAGCGTGGCCTCGAAGCTGTCGATGTCCTGCTGCTGAGCCAGCACCGCGAAGTCGTCGCCGTGCCCCAGCAGCCTCGTCTCGTCCACCTCCTTGTAGAAGACCGCTGGGCACGACACGCCCGCCTTGTAGCCGTGTTCCTCCAGCAGCTCCGTGTAGTCGCCCTGCCAGATCTTGCTGGCGTCCTGCGTGCCGTACCAGGACTTGAGGAGTAGGCCGCGCTTGTCCTCGCCGTACTCCTTGCGACTCTCCTCCTCCAGCTCTACGAAGATCCTCCGCTGCGCCTTCCCGTAGAAGTGCGCCCTGCTGATGTCGAAGAAGCCGATCTTGAAGTTGCCCGGCTTCCTGCCCTTCTTGCGAAGCGACTCCTGAATGTGGAGCGGTGCTTCCCGCGTCCACGTGACCATCAGCGAGACCAGCGACCGCATGGCCTCCAGAGGAGGCATGGCCGAGAAGACCTCGGACGCCTCCAGCTGCTCGTCGGGGCGCTTCTTCGCCTTGATCTCCTTCACGACGAGCCTGCTCCTGTAGTTGGGCCTCTCCGCGTCACCCTTGTTCGTGTCGACCCACTTGAGTGGGATGGGCGGACGCCCAGTCTCGGCGAAAGCCTGAGACCTCGGGACGATCTCGATCAGCTCCTGCTTCTTGACCCACTCGCGCTCGACCGCGCGAGCCTGGGCCACAAGGCCCGCCTCCAGGTAGCCGCCATTGACGTCGTCCCAGTAACTCGTCCAGTCCCCGGGCGGCACTGCCGCGTCCACAGGGACTGGGCCCGACTGCTGCACCTGGGCGGTGCTGAGCTCTCCCACGTCATTCAGCGTGTCCTTGAGCTCCTCCAGCACCGCCTCTACCAACTTCGGTGGATAGACCTTCGCGAACCGCGCGATGCCGCCCACGAGCGTGATGTGGCGATGCCATTCCGCGCGGCCGTCCACATTGCTGCAAGTGCCCTGCAGCCTCCGGGCTAAGCCTGGATGGTTGGTGACCCATCCGGTCTCCTTGCGCACGAACTCCTCCTGACCACTGCGTGGGTTCGTGAGCTTCATGCCCCACCGACACATGGGGCCTTTGACCGTGAAGACTCCTGGATGCGCGACCAGCTCCTTGACGATGTCCTCATTCCACGATCGCGCGCTCCAGGGATGCTCATGCAGGAAGTACCTGCCTGGCTTCCTGAGCTGACGCCAGTAGGCGTCGACTGCCACCTTCAGGTGGTGTCTGGCCTCCTCCATCTCAGCCGCCTCCTGCTCATCGGTCCTGAACTTGGCGCTCAGGCCCCTCAGCAAGCTGAACTTCTCGCAAGGAGGGGACCCCGTGAGCAGGATGGGATCCATCCGCTCCTGCTGCCTCTCGAGCTCCTTGACATCCTCGGGGCGCCGCAAGTCCCACGGCGTCCCGTCCTCCTTGAGTTCCTCCAGGTCCGCCGCGAAGCCCGGGCGCAGCTGAAATTCCGCTGCCCGAGCCGAGAACCGATGTGGCGAGTACACCTCGGCCACGTCCACGGCGCCCAGCTGCAACGCCGATAGGGCGATGCTGTCCACCTCTTCGTCGGCGATGTCCACGCCGGCGCTGGCCCAATGGCCACTGACCTGTTCGCGAACGAGCGGGAGCAACTCCGCCTTCGCTCTCGTCAGCACTCCGAGCTCAACCAGCTCGATCGACGCCATATCGAGGGCGAGCACCCGCATGTGCCTCCCCTCACTGGCGTTCCACACGACTGCCACTCCAGCTGGCAGCTGAGGTCCTTCCGCTGGCGCCGGCTGCGCCGCGAGATCCTCCATGTCCACCGGTACCGGCACGTCTGCCGGCTGTGGATCACCGCGCTCGAGGGCCTCCGGCACGTCATCCGGGGCCACCTCTGCCAAGCGCTTCAGCCGCGACCTGGCCGCGGTCATGTCGACATCCGCGGCGGCCTCTGCCGCTCGCGCCGCTCCCGAACTGGAGCTCGCTCCTCCTGAAGGAGCCGCCACGCCGAAGCCCGGTGCTACCGGCTGGCTCTCTCGCACGCGCGCCGCTGTGGCTGCCACGGCTGGCGCTGCTGCCGATCGGGCCGCGGCCGGCGCGGCCGATGCCGCTGCCGCCGCTGCCACCGGCTCGGTGATCCTCCGAGCCGTCTTCGGCGGAGGGGTCCCTGCCGCGGCCGCTGCCGCTGGTCGGACTCTGGCCTCTTGGCCCTGCCTCCGTTCTCGATACTGGCCGGTCCTTTCCCGGCCTGCCTCCTCCGCGTCCAGCGCTTCGAAGATCCTCTTGCTGCACGCCGCGTTGTGCGCGTGGCCAGCCAGCACCCGGCCGTGCTTGGCGATCGAGACGCACCCTGGGCATCCCGGCGTTGCGCCCAGCCGCTCGACGTCCGCCTTGAGGACGTACATCCTCCTCGGCGCCTGCGGCTGCGGCGACACCACCACAATTGGTGGCGGTCCGACCTCTCCAGGTCCGACGATGGCCCGCGGCGCGCTTGCCGCACGCGGAGCCACGTCCCACGGCAGGCCCTTCAGGCCATCCCAGCCCGCCGTGATCCACTTCTCGCTCTGCGGCAGGCTGCGAAAGCCGACCGCCTTCTTCACGCCGTCGCTCGTGATGACCATCATCGAGCCGTCGCGCGGGTGGTGGCCGATGTAGCGAGCCTCCACCATCTGCTCCTCCAGCGCGTTCTTCCTCGCGCGCTCCCCGGCGAACCGCGCCATCAAGCGCTCGCCGAAGAGCGGGACCGGCTTCCTCCACTGCCGTCCCGTGAGCCGCTGAAGAGCGGTCTTGCCATCCTGGCCGCGCCGGTATCGGTTGATTACCGATGCGGCGTGCTCCGGCAGGTGCGCTAGCACCGGGTGCTTGTCCTCCACCTTGACGCCCAGCTTGGACTCCAGGTCCATCTTGAGCGCCCGCACCTGCTTCTTGATCTCGCGCACCGTGACCTCGATCTCCCCATTGGCCTGATGATCGGCCGGTGCCGATTCCTGGGGAATGGCCTCGAGGCCAGGAACCTCCTCCACCGCACGCCTCTTGACCAGCAGGATCGCTGGCTCGCCGTCGGACTTGTTGACGATCTTCCTGTAGCCCAGGATCCGTAAGAAGCGTGCGAAGAACTTGATGGCGTAGGCGTCGTCGCCCTTCTTCTCCACGAATGTCGCTGCCATCATCTTCGAGCGCCGATCCCTAAGTACCAGCATCGGCATGGTGTCCGCGTCGTCCTGGCCCATGAAGGCGTAGTCGGACGAGACCACCGGCACCGCCGTCTCGTCGTCCTCCGGTGCGCGGAGATGCGGCTGGCCTTGGCCCTTTGCCGCAATACACACGCGACACCAGCTGCGATAAGTCGCGTGTCCCATCGCCTCGTGTTCGTCGATCTCCCTCTGAGAGGGCTCATGAGGTGCCTTCAGCACTCTCGGGCGAGCCTCCTCCTCGCCCTCGTCGGCCTGCTGTCCATCAGGAGCAGCTGGCAAAGCGTCGGCCGCAGCAGCTGCCGCTGGCTGAAAACCCGGCGGTCTCACGTCGGAAGGTCCCGACCCCGCCGCTGCCGCCCCCGCAGCCGATGCCGCCGGGGGCCGTGGTATTAAGTCCTCCAGTGGGCTTACGCCGAGGGCTGCCTCCTGGGGACTGTCTTCTCGAGGATCTCCAGCAGCTCCTCCTTCGACTTGCCGCTGAGGAGCTCCACCAGCTCGGACTTCGACTTCGCCGAAAGTCCCTCCTCGAGAGGAGCAACCGAGCCATGTTGGCCCTTCTTGAGGTAGAAGTTGTAGACGCCCTGCTCGCGATAGACCGGCAGCATCTGGTGCTTCGCCGCCTTCGCCTCCTTCTCGAGCATGCCTACCACGCGCTTGCCGATTGGGCTCTTCTCGTGGAATATCCAGCCGCCATTGCGACCCAGGAATGAACACTGTCCAGCTCCTGCTGCCTGCCCCACCGAGATCAACGGCTTGTGCACGTTCGTCACGCGTCCCTTGAGCGCTCGTAGCACTCCGTACTCGTCCTCCGCCTTGAGCTGCAAGCTGCCCTCGTCCGGGACGAGCTCACCACTGGCCGTGCGATACGTGCTGCCGTTGCCCTTCATTCCCGTCGGCGGCGCGAAGCTCCGAGGGAATGCTGAGATAGCTGCACCGCTGTCCCAGTTGAACTTCATCCAGTCGTCCTGCGCGAAGGGGGAGAGATCGACCGCCGCTACGCCGCGGCCGCTGCCGCTGGCGAGCTCCAGGCAGTCCAGGCTGCCCATGTCCAGAGCGGCGACCTCCGCTTCAGGCTCCTCCTCCAGGCTGCCTGCCGCCTTGCCGCCGGCCTTGCCACCGCGGCTACCGACTTTACCACCAGCGCTTGCCCCCGTTGCGGATCCAGTTCCAGCCCTCGTACTCGATCCCTGCTCTCTCTTCCAGCAGTCGGATGCCTTGTGGCCCCATCTCTCGCAGTTCCGACAGTAGCCGTCGAAGCGCCCGCTGGTGCTTCGAGGTGCCGTGTGCCCTGAACCACGGCCCGAACCCGTCGGGGATGTGCGGGAGCCTGAGTATGATCCGTTCGTCGATTTGCTCTTCCCCTTCGGCTCCTGAGTCTTGCCTTTCCCTTTGCTCTTGCCATCCTTGCCCTTGCCTTTGCCTTTGCCCTTCGGGGCTCCGAATGACCCGACGTCCATGTCGTCCGGATGATGTGCCCGCGCACGGATCGATGGCTCCTTGATCTTCACGCCGGTCCGAGCCTCCACGATCGTCATCACCTCGTTCAGACTGTCCTGGAACGTGACGAGCCGATGCTTGTTGAGGACGAGGTGGTTCTCGATGTCCTGAGGCACGAGCATCTCGAGGGCCGCCATCTTGATATCCTCCGGCAGCTCGGCTAGACCATCTTCTCCTTGGCGGCGTTCGTACCTGCCTATCTGCTGGATCCACTTCTCTAAGGCTGATCCCAGCTCGTCCGCGCTGCACTTCGGAGGCGAGATGATCGACCTCAGGATCAGCCTCTTCCTCGGACCTGTCGTCGGATCCCACCTGCGGTGGAGCTTCCGCCAGGCTTCGAGACCGTTCCCATCGGGGGCGCCCGTCACGAGGTCGTTGCTCTCGCTGCCGTCCGCCGTCGTGCTGATCAGCGCCGCGTACAGCTGGTTGACCTTGGTCTCCAGCTCTGGTACTCCGTCGTGCGCCGCCTGTGCCCCCTCGATCGTCACGGGGCGTTCGGCTTCTGCAGCCCACCGAAGAACGGGACGGAAGCTCTCTCCGTACACACCTATCACGTAGTTCTCCATCTTGCGATTCCAAGCCCCGAACTTCTCTTGATCGTCGCCCATCGTCGTGGGCTTGCCAATCCCCTTCGCGTCGACGAGACCTTGAGCGGCTCCTCCCGCGCTCGACGCGCCTCTGATCTGCTCGCCCATACGTTCTATCGCCTGCGGAATTGCCGCGAGGCCTCCTGCTACTTGTTGCTGAAGCCGCTGATTCTCGTTCTCCAGCCTCCTCATCTCGTCGGCGGTCTGACTCATTCGAGCCGCGAACTCCTGCCTCAGCAGTTCGAACTGCTGCCGAACCTGCTCGTCCATGTTTGACAGCGTGTCTCTCGGCGAGCTCCTCCCTGCTCTCAGCTATCTCCTGCCTCGTACGCTCGAGGTCCGTGATCCGTCCTAGGACTTCCTTCTGCGTTCTCTCGACAACGTCTGAGGAGTTCTCCGACGGATGGTCCTCGATGTGCGCGAGGTCACGAAGCCTGTCGCCTGCCTCCCTCAAGTCGTGCTTGAACTGGAGCTGCTTGCGCCTGGTCTCAATCGCTGCGTCGCTCCTCTTGCCGCGCCTGCGGCCACTCTTCCCGGCCCCTGCCGGTTGCTCGGTCGCTGCCGAGCTCGCTGCGGTCGATGCCGCCCTCTTCCAGCCTCGAGCCTCCTGCCAGCTCGCCGTGGCGCCCGCGGCCGCGGCGCGCCGAGGCCTTGGTGGGGTCGGCAGCAGTGAGTGGCCAGCTCACGCTACCATGATGAGATAGTATGCCGATGGACAACAATATCTCTTTTCATCTTGAGCCAAAATGGGCGCACGGAGGAGGGTGTCAGAATCAGGTCGGCATGCCGCGGAAATACGCATTTCTCTGTCGCAGCGCAGGGATGTCGGCGGCTTGAGCGTCGTGCCCCAAGACGTAATGCATGCCCTGAGTGATGACAAAGTAAGGCGTGTCCAAGTCCACGGCTGTAAGGATCGCCTTGAATACGTTGCGGCGGCGGCCTTCCTCGGCTGGGTACAAATAATGGTGCACGCCGATGCAACTGGTAGCCGCCACTCCAAGCATATTCGCCGTCAGGAGCAGGTGGTAGTATGGACTTGGGCGCCAGAAATCACCAGCACTGGTTCCACTGAGCAGCCACGACACCTCAGCCAGCGATGCATCCTTCGCGACTGTCCACCACTGCCTTGCCCACGCCAAGAGCGTCGCCACGAGGTTGAAGGACATGATTGCGCATGACCACCATGAGGTATGGGTGGGGGGAGGGGGGCGTCTGTCCCGCAGGGCCAGACGTCGCCATCTGAAGCCAGGGCTGCCCAACTGGAAGTTGTTTCAGCTCATACAGCTAGCTTGAGCAAAAATGGCTGCGGAAGGTTTCAATGATTTTTTTGGTCCTTGAATCTTCAAGCTCCCGACGCTCCAGGGCGGCCCAAGAGGCCCCCAGGACAGAAGAGGCCCCTGGCGGGCCCCAGCGCTGCCCAAGAGGGCTCCAAGACAACCCCAGAGATGCCCACGACGGCCCGAGAGGGCCCAGAGACAGCTGCAGGGATGCCCAAACGGGAACACGAACCGAGAATCCATGCCTTCCGCCCCAAGAGGTATCCAGGAGGCCCCCAGGAGGCCCCAATAGACCCCCAAGAGGCCCATTCTGAAGCTTCAAGACGACCCTCAGGAGGCCCGGAGAGTCCTCCCGCTGACATCCCAACGAACACCCTTGAGGCCTATGACAGCCCAGGCACGGTGGCGAGATAGGCAGAAGGCCGCTCTACCTATGTGTGCAGATGCACATACATGAATGATATGTATGTGTATATACATGCATACATACATACATACATACATACATATGTATGTCTGTCTGTCTGTCTGTCTGTCTGTCTGTCTGTCTGTCTGTCTGTCTGTCTGTCTGTCTGTCTGTCTGCCTCCCTGTCTGCCTGTATGTCTGTATGTCTGTATGTATGCGTGTATGTATGTATGTACATATGTATGTACATATGTTTGTATGTATGTATGTATGTATGTATGTATGTAGGTATGTATGTATGGATGTATGTATGTATGTATATGTGTATTGCTGTAAGTGCGTACGTCTGCAGGTGTGTGTTTGTATGTATGTATGCATGTATGTATGTCTTTCGATATGCCTGTCTGTCTGTCTGCCTGTCTGCATGTATGTAGGTCGGTTGTAGTATAGTGTGTTATGCTATGCCTGTATGCCTATATGTCAGTATATGTTATCACAGTGCGACCCTACCTAGGAGTTGGAGCATCTAGGAAAGCAACATCTACATCTACACCGACAGCTACAGTCACAGCTATACCTACATCTACATCTACATCCACATCAACATTAACAGCGAGACTCACATCTACATCTACATCTACACCTACATATACACCTACATCTACATCTACATGTACACCTACATCCACATCTACACCTACATCTACATCTACATCTACACTTTCGCATTGGTGTTGCGTGCTTTGCATTGCCTTGCCTTTGTGTTTGCGTTTGTTTGCTATGCTAAACAATGCTATGCTAAGCAATGATATGCTATGCTATGCTATGCTGCGCTATGCTATGCTATGCTATGCTGAGCTATGCTATGCTCTGCTCTGCTATGCTATGCTCTGCTTGGCTATGCTATGCTATGCTATGCTGGGCTAATGCTGCGCTGCGCTATGCTGCGCTGCGCTGCGCTAAGCTAAGGTAACTAAGCTAAGCTAAGCCAAGCTAAGCTAAGCTAAGCCTGGCCTAGCTAAGCTAAGCTAAGCCAGGCTAGGCAAAGCTAAGCTAAACTAAGCTCGGCTAAGATGAGATAAGCTAAGCTAAGCTAAACTAAACCAAGCTTAGCTAAGCTAAGCTTGGTGAACCCAGGGGGCGCAACTGGGGGAACCGCGGGGCGGATCCTGGGGGAACCGCCCGGGGCGGGGAGCACTGCCCGGCCCCTTAAGCAAACAGGGTAAGAACCCTTCTAAGCAGAGCCTAGGTAGGGAATACATCTGTTTCCATGTCGCACGTGTTTGCCTGGGCTCATGCAAACACATGTGCAAGACGTGAATGCGGATTCTAATTTGTTACGTGTGGTATGTGTGTGCGTGTATTGTGTGCAGTGTACTTATGTTGTGTGTTGTGTGTATGCTATGTGAATTATGGGTTTTCCGCGCGTTACGTATGTTAGGGGCGTTGTGTTATGTTGAGCTGTGCTGTGCTGTGTTCTGTTGTGTTGTGTCCGTATGCGTTGTGTGTGTGTTGCGCGTGTTGGGTATATTGTGTTATGTTTGTTGTATGTTGTGTGTGCGTGTGTGTGTGTGTGCTGTGTGTTACATGGGTTGTAGGTGTTGTGTGTGATCTTTGTGTGCGTGTGTGCTCTGTATGTGCGTATGTGTTGTTTGGTGTGCTGTGAGTGATGTCTGTGCCGTGCTTTGTGTTTTGTACGTCGGGGCTCGATGTTGGGAGGACGTCTCTGGCGAAACTCCCTTTGTTCGAAGAATCGTATTCAAACAATGCTCATTTTTTTGAGAATGTCTCCAGCGAAACTGAAATGTTCGAAGAACCAGGCTCAACATCAACGAATTCCGTCGTGTTTTGAAGGTCTCATGTCAACATTTTCAAGCAGGTTGCGTCTTTGAGCCCTGACGTCGCGATCTGCGTGAGGTACTTTTTCTCTAGGGATCTGGGCCTGCGGGCCGCTCTGGCCGCCACGTCAGGGGGCAAACAACAATCCACCACGACAAGAACCACCCCGACACGCGAAGCCGGTTAGGAAACGCACCCAGAGGAGGAGGAATCAAACAGGGCAGGGCTGTGTAGTAAACGCCCATGTCGGCGGTGGACAAACCTCCCTTTCGTAAACCGCCCTTCAGTGAAAACGGCCTGGGACCGAAACCGACGGACCTGGATCCCCAAAAGATGACGGCCGCGACGCCCTCTCGCGAACCGAAAACGGCCAATTCACGAATCGACGTGTCAGGGTAGGAGGTCTATCAACTTCCGACCCAAAGGAGGAATCGAACGGGCAGGGCCGTTTGGTAAACGCCCAAGGCCGTTTGGTAAACGCCAACTGTCCAGATCCGGTGTTTTTTCTCCTCCCTCGACGTGTGGCCGACGTCACCGCCGCGTCGCCGCTCGACGCCTCGTCGCCGCCCGCTTTTGCACTGCTTCGCACTGCTTTGCGTTTACTTTGCGTTTGCTTTGCGTTGTGTTCTGTCACTGCAATTTGCAATCGCACTGCATTGCAATCACACTGCATGGCGCCGCTTCACACTGATTTGCACTGCGCTGCACTGTCATGCCGTTCTCTGCAATGCAATGCGTTGCTTTGCATTGCTTCGCCTTGCATTGCTTTGCGTCGCATTGTTTTGGCAGTGCTCGAAATTGCGTTGCACTGTTTCGCACGGCGTCTCACTGCTTTTCACTGCTTTGCATTGTTGTGCGTGCTTTACATCGTTATCCATTGCATTGAACTGCTTTGCCTGACTGTGCATTGCCTTGCATGTATTTGCATCGAATGGCACTGCTTTGTTTTGCTTTGTGTCGCTTTGCGTTGCATTGCTTTGTTTGTGCTTTGCATTGCTTTGCGCCACATAGATTGCACAACATGGATTGCACCACCTAGAATGCACTCCATATATGGCAAGAAATTGCTGCTTGTGGTTCACGGTCGGTAACATATACACAGGTTGTTGAAAAAGGAACCTGATTCACACTCCTAAACGCAATGCTCATCTGAGCAGGCAACGTCCAAGACAGGTGACAAGTGTCTTTGCCTGAACTGTGCGTCCATACTCACGCGTTTGACTTTACAACCAGTATGCCGTATGCCCATGTAAAAGAGGCAACACGAACGCGCACACTCGAGCACACGAGGGTGCACAACAACAACAAACCAGCTTGGCGACAAACTTGTTAAACACGCCAAAGACACTCTATCCTAAGCATGGCCGCATCATGACATAGACATGCAACCAATCCGCCATCCGAAATGTCAACTCCCGTATGGACAAGACGGGTCCTACTGTGAAGCCCTTCTGGAG